TCGTTCTGTTTCCTGTCCTGGGAACAAACGTACCTAGTGTTAATGGGTCTGACATAATGAAAATGTTAAATTTTCTCCAGCACCAAATTCATACCTCTTAATGATTTTTTAAGTAGTGGCTTTTATGCTACCTAGACAATTATTTTATAAGGTCACAAGAAATGCTTTTAAGTAAACATATTATTTATAAAACAAAAGTTAAAGCCACAACCTTCAGTATCTGTAGAACAATGAAACTCAACTGTTTGGGTTTAAAAATAGCTCTAGAGTGTATCTTGGTGGACCTGTGGGAAAAATAAACTAAATTCCCCCTTAACTGTCTAACAATCAGAATTCTTTAAAGATCCGTGCTACACCCTGTAGGAAAGACATCAGTTCCAGAATGTCTGGGGCTCATTTCCTTGTTTTCTAAGTTCGGACCCATTTTACATTCCATTTTACAGCTGTCGTCTCCCCCGTCTGCGAAGACCAACAACAGCAACACAAAATCACAAAACTGCAGTTTAGAAACACAGATTTTTATGGTTGTGAGGCAACGGAAAAGACCTTCTCCCCCCTAAATCATTAGAGGAGTATGATTTTTTTAATTCACAAATTGACTATACTGGGTCACCTTTGAGTAATGGAAATCTGTTTAAACATTGTTTTGGCAAAAGGCACCAAACATTAGATCTTATTTCCAAGCTTTACCAGCTGGGTTTTGTCATTAACATTTATTAACAATCTAAGATATGGCCTTCCCCGTCTAATCCGTACTACACAAATGTTTTGTATGGCCCTCCAGAGGATTTTGCTGTGACAAATTACTGGCAGAGATTAGAGCCCCGTGGCTATTCACCAGAGGCAATGTAAAATTAACATGGTACTAATCCAATTTAAACAAGAAGTTGCACAAACAATCATCTGAACAAAAGCAGAGAGGATTCCAATTTTCTATTCAAACACAATAAATGTGTTTTTAATAAAAAGTTCTAAAAAATTGTATTTTCACACATATGAATTGTGCTTAGTTGAAGTTATTAATTTTAATCCTGCAAAAACAGTGAGTGGCAGAGCACAATTCAGTCTGGCTCTTGCCTTTCTTCCTAAGTGCCGAACCTCGAAAGTTGTCTGCAGACCATCAGTGATTCCTGCTGACCTCAAAGTTTGTTTACAGTGTTGTTTCCAAAGCAGAAAGTTTGTGGGTTAAGGAAGAGAATTAGTCTGCAAGGAAGATCACTGCACTCCAAGAATGAGATTCTTTTTTTTTTTTCTTTTTTTTTTTTTTGAGCAATAGTTCCGAGGTAAACCAGCCATGTAGGGCTGCTCTGTTCTTAACACAGACACTAAGTCAGGGCAGCATCTGACTTTTTTTTTTTTTTTTTTAATTTATTTGACAGAGATCACAAGTAGGCAGAAAGAGGAGGAAGCAGGCTCCCCACTGCGCAGAGAGCCCGATGCAGGGCTCGATCCCAGGACCCTGAGATCATGACCTGAGCCGAAGGCAGAAGCCCCAACCCACTGAGCCACCCAGACGCCCAGCATGTGACTTTTGTGACAATAACTTCTCTGGAAGAATAAACTGCCAGAATTACTTTGCCAATGGTTTTTAGGCAAAATGAAAAGATGGAGGGAGAAAGTGTAACCAGAAAAGAAAGTGTAACCAGAAAGAGCCAAAGTGTACAAGGATGCCTATGATAGGAAGGAGGGGCAAGGGGGTGGCAGCCTTTTCCTGACAAGCCCAATGAAATTCCGTTTCAGTACTCAGGGTATTTGCTTTGGAGAAGCAAGTCATCCCTAGTCAAAAGCTAACCCTTTTCTACCTTTTCATTATGGATTTAGCCTTTCTGAGTCTCAGCCTTCACTATGTAACTTTCCTTCAGCTGCACGCAGGGTCTTCCACATCTTCTGTCTCCTCTCAGTTTTAAGACTGGAAACGATTGCAAATCTAATCGGGCTATTGCAAACATTGTCTTTAAAACATTTTTCCCTTAGCTTTGAGGGACAAAATACAATGGTAAGCCCATTGTCCTCGTACTTGTCTAACAATGTTGTATTATTTTGGCTCACTTCATTTGCATTTTCACCACCCGGCAAGACCCTGAGGAAGATCGGGGCTCCCAGCTGGACGTGGGACTCCGCAGGGGAGAGCGCCGCTCAGTGGGCAAGGGGCACCGCAGGCTCCCGGGAATGACACGCTGACAGAGCCACAGCTTCCGTGCACTCTCATCTCTTTATACCCAAACTTTAGGAAGTTCTACAGATTACCTGGTATATCTGCACTTTAGGATTTTTTTTTCCTTCTACACAGTTTTCTAAAGAACACCTATAAAGCTACCATATCAATAAATAAAGTACTATTACTACTCAAACTATAGCCTGCCCACTTGCCTATTTCTATCATTATATAATCACATCCGCCGCTACTGGAGACTTAAAAATCTGAAATTGTTGAGTAGAACACTGTAGTCACAAATCCCTCCAATGGTTTTCCCAAAATACCCAAACCTAGCAACCAATTAGGTCCCCGCTGACTAAAACCAAGAACGCTCCAGGTTTAGAGCTCATCTCCTTGTAACAGTTCCCAGGTAGAGGGCACATCCTACAACCAAACCTTTATTAAATGCTGTATAAGCCACTCATTCAATTCTCAGACAAACTTGTGATGAGAGATTAGTCTCCTCATTGGTAGGTGAAAAATCAAGAGGTAGAGCCCAGATTCCGCTCACCTCTTAGGACTCCAGGCCATGTTCTAAACCACCCCGTGTGCCGCCTCTGAGAGAATTTGAATCCTGTTACCTCTAACAGCTACTCTCAACACATCACTTCCTTGTTCCCAATTCCTTGGGACTCCTCATACCGCATGTAACCTAAGGACCTTGGCATCACGACTTGAGCTTCCTCCTCTCCAAAGTCCCTGAATTCTCACCATCAGAGCTCTTCTATCTAACATTTTCCTGGCTGGGATGTGCCAAACTGTGACCGGTACCTCAGTCCTTGGTCAGAAATCTCTAAAGCCTTCCCTGGGTCCCTTTGTTCTCCCTGAAATTCTTTCACTATTTGGCTTCTAGGGAATAAAAAAGCTGACATAAAGGGGAAAGAGCCTGGACTCCAGTCCTCGGTCTCTGTATGAGCAGGTGCACCTGACTTGACTTCTCTAAGTCTGTGTCTTTCCTCTGGAAAACAAATAAAATGACCTGCTCCGGATCTTGGTTAGAATGGAATGACAAGTGAGAGGCTAGAAATCAGGATCACTCTCTTTCCAGCTGCTGCCTCCAGGATCAGCTCTCATCTGTCCACTGCAAACCTAAGAATGCTCAGTTCTGCCTGCCCCAGCTTCAGTTCTCACCCCTGCAAGAGTCCTTGCTCTGTTCATCAGCTACGGCATCCTCCCCACATCGGATCTGCATTTCTGACTGCTCGCTGAATGTCCCTCTGCACGAGTTACAGTGCCCAACATTGTAAGTCCTTTCTCCTTCTCATCTTAAATTTCCAGATTGTAAGGCTTAAGTCTTGAGCATCATCTTTGACTTTCTACTCCACATTAAAATCAAGTAGATGGTGCTACACAGCATCTACCAAAACTATGTGTTTTTTGTTTTTGTTTTTTTACATGAGTCTGCGTGTCACGTTCCCACTGACGTTCCAGTCCTTCTAGCCTCAAATGACTGCTATGAGGGGTCCTCCTCTTGGGGTTCAAGTACAGCCTCTGCTTTCCAATTTGATCCTGTTCACCATAATCGTTTTGGCAATTTTATTTCCAACATTTCCCTCACTACTTTCCTGAATCACTACCCACTCACCAGAGCTGTATCTGACATACCTCCTCTTCCATAAGCCCCTTCTTAAGTGCTGTAAAACATACGTACTTTCCCCTCCTGACTACTCTGGATGGTTCTTCTCAGGGCTCTTAAATATATATGTTATACTTGTAATTTTCTTCCCTACTAGCAAATTGCAAGCTCCCTGAGGGAAAGACTTAAGTTTTACCTACATCAATCAATCTAGGGCAGTACCTCGAATACAAGAGGCCCCCAGTTACATTCATCTATCTTTAGTCCTGCGAACTTTCATAGTCATTCTGTACAATCTCAACTCTTCTAGGAGCTACGTTAAGGCAAATTGTACTATTAATTCTTCAGCGGTCTTGGACATAATTCTCTTTGAGGGCAGGAAGTGATCGGTATGATACCACGAATTTGTTTAATAGCATTTAATGGTCATGGAGACAGATTAAAAAGAATACAAATTTGAAAGGACCAAGTGCCAAATTTCCTTCAGAATAAAACTGACTGTTAAAGAAAAGGCAGAAGTTAGAATAAAGCTAACCATTATTGATCCTTAGAAGTGTCAGGTCAAGTAGGTTGGATTCTAAAAAACCTGCTCATATTTTACTTGATCTTAATCATCTGAGGAAATTACACCCCAAAATGAGATTAATTTCTCCTGAGGCTTATGGCATTTGTTACCAAGTAGGAAGAAGGGGACGGGGAGGGTAACCTAAGAAGAATTCAGGAAACCACTATCACCTTTTAAATTCTTGTAAAATTACGCAAAAAATTGTCTCTGATTCCTTTTCTTCACTGAATATAAATGACTATGAATTCTAGGAATAACATTTAAAATAAGCTATTCAGTTGCAGGACATGTTAAATTTTTAAAGTTATTCTTAAAGTTCTCTCTTGAAAGGTACTTTCAGTGGAAGGAATTTCTACTAAGAGAAAAAAAAAATGGCCATTTTAGAAGTGAAAGTAAAATAAATTATTCCCACTTTCTTCCGGGGAGGATAGGTGGCTATTACTTAAAACAAACAAACAAAAAAAAACCCTAAAAGTTCTTTTTTTTTAATTAAGAAAAAGCTCTTTAAGAAAGCCGCTAACCTCCTAATGTCAGAAATAGCCCTGACAATTGAAATGAACACATCCGACCATAAGAGATATTGCCAAATATGCATACTTGTAAAGAGTCAAGGGGAAAAAGACATAAAACGACCAATCCATCACCAGCTATCAACTACATACCTGTTTAAGTCTGGCAAGTTCTTTCAAAGCTCGTCCCCACTGCTGCTTGTAATGCAGTTTAGACTTAGTTGCAGATTCCAACTTCCTTTCAAGTTCAACCTGACAGTGATTAAAATCGTATCAAGTGAAACACTATACCACTGTGTACAATCACTGAAAGATAATATATACAAAGAGTCTGGCTTAAGAAAAGAGTTTATACAGTGTAACATACGACATCATCTAAAACTGTTATATAATTTACTATAAATATTATGGCACATGAACATTTTCTTGTTTAAAATATAGTCGTATTTTTACTGCCTAACAGCCTATACTAAAAGGAACTGAATCAGTCTTAACCTCCAGACAGTTACTATAAATGTATTAAAACGTGTAGAGAGTGCAAAACACATTCATTTTTTTACAAAAAGCAGTTCTTACTGTTAGCATTCCAATTCAGCTGGCACTCCCAATCTGAGAAACCAACTTATTCCTTTTGGAGGCCTCTCATGACATGGAACTTGGTCTTAAAACAAAAAAAGCTAGTAGAGATACTTGTATATTTCGGCAAAAATCAGAAAATGTCGAAAACAGTGAAATGTTTTATCAGAGCAGTTTACTAAGCAAGAGTACAAAGTGAAAAATATTTTAAGAATGTTAAAATAAACCCAAGAGTAGGAAAAATAATGCTCCTACTAATACTCATCTAACTCTTATTTTCTGTTTTCCCTCAAATATATAAAGAAAAACATGAAAGTGATTCCATTAAAAAAATGGTTATTTATACTTGCAGCAGGCAATCTGTTGTGCATGAACTCAAGCCAACTTGGCTAAGTTCTGGAATGTACTCTCTCAGTGTTTCAAACTAAGTACCAAACAAATTCATGAAGCCAACAGACAGTTTTACTATTTAAGTGATAATGTAATAATATGCCTGAATTACAGTAAAATACTGTGACTCTAAACAGGTCTAAGTTTTTTTATATCAAGTCTAGTTTTTCCCATACACACTGATCCTTGTGTTTTGCAGGAATACAAACCCAAAGGCACTCTCCCAAAATTCAAACTCCAGAAAACTTTTGTTTTATTTTCATGTAAGGAAAAGCTGATTGCCAAATTCCCTTCACAAAAGACCAGAACATTCTCTGCAGTAATATATGACTTCATGGAGTCAAGGTTTTTTCGGCTTTACAAATCCCTGGTGCTTGGATTTAAAGGTGTTGACATTTCACAACTAGACTTACATGTCCTAAGTTGAATAATACTGTGAGATTATCAAAGATGATCTCTTCTACTTATGCTTTCCAGATTTATCCATATTACTTGTTAATTTAACAATAGGGTGTTAGTCAGTGGAATAGCAAAAATCTTTTTATGGCTCTAAGATAAAAGGGTCGTATTTTTTTTTAAAGGGTAGTATTTAATTATGAAAGCAATCATGTCCATGGGTCCTGGAGAAGGTGTAGTAGTCTGGATGGGACTAAGGAGGAGAGCCAGGACTGGACTGAAACCAGAGGGATGACATAAACCCAGGGGATTGACTCAACAGAAAAAGCGGGATAAGGTTTTATCAGTTTTGCCATGAGTCTCAAAATAATTCCCATTTGCATAGTTATTCATGCTTAAATAAAAAACTATAGTTATCAAATTTCAGATTGAAACCTCACTTTTCTGAGTTCATTCCTTTGGCCCAATCAATTATTCCTACTTTTATTTTTTTAAGAATATAGGAGCCTCTGTGATTCTAAAGAAACCATACCAACCCAATTCCCAGAAACATGCACCCGAGTGAAGATTTGATCTACTTCCAGGACACTCACAGACCTCGAGCTAAGACGACTCACTGTGAGTAGACGGGAGGCTTGAGCTAGCCCGTACACGTAGATCCTGAGCCTAGTTACAGACCTCTAGTGTGCAAACTCACCTCAGGACCTGGAGTCAGTTGAGAGGCTAGCATGGCAGTAAGCACAGAGCTGTGCTCACTGCTGCTCCCATCTGCCTGTCTCTATGCCCACAGCTCGCATCCCCTACAAGACAGAGGGCACTGCCTTCATCACTGATGCTCTACTCCCTCGTTCGAGTCTGTCACAAACCAACGATTTAGATTTCTTCCTGGAAAACCTTGGTGGTTTTATTCTTCTACTTTCCTACTGCCAGTTCCTTAGCCCAAGTTATTTTCCTCTTCTCTGGTTTCTTCAGCCTAAATCTTTTCTATCTACACATCCCACTGTCCTCTCTGCTAAAAAGAATCTACCATCACTGCGACTTGCCTGTAGTCTGGAGCCTATTCTCCTCTGTCTAGGTTTCACGGTGTTCCAGAATCGCACCTCTGTTCTCCTTGCTGAACCTGTCTCCTGGGTTTTCCTCAACAGAAGACCCTCTCCTCCTGTCCTCAGGTCCATGTCTTATACACCACCTCCCCTGCCCCACTAACTTCTTGAGCCGGTTACTTTTCTACTCTAACTTAAAACTTGAAGCTGTCTTAAAACTGTTTCTAAATTGCCAAGAGTTCTTATCACGTTCCCTGGTATTTGATTACATACAATCACTTAAGGCTGAGTCATCTCCCTAATTTCTTTACGAACTCTTTAAAAGTGAGGTCCCAAAGGATAATGTGTTTTTTCCCTTCATCTTTCCCTCTACCTTAAGACACGAGTGGACAGGCAATAGCTACCAAATAATCTTAAGAAAATTTCAGCATTGGGGTGCCTGGGTGGCTCAGTGGGTTAAAGCCCCTGCCTTCGGCTCAGGTCATGATCCCAAGGTGCTGGGATCGAGCCCCACATCAGGCTCTCTGCTCAGCAGGGAGCCTGCTTCCCCCTCTCTCTCTGCCTGCTTCTCTGCCTACTTGTGATCTCTGCCTGTCAAATAAATAAATAAATAAATATCTTTAAAAAAAAACTTCAGCATTTATTTTTAACTTTAGTCTGCCCTACTAAATTGTTTTCCATATTTTATTTAAAAACTGGATTATTTCTAAGCCATTGAAGAGACTCCTACCAAAAAGCAAACCATAAACTGACTTCTTACATAACAAAAGGAATCAGGATTGTATTTGGTAAAACTGTATCTTAACTTAATGTTACACCATTTCGTGAAAATAGAAATACTTCTTTTACACTGAAGAGAATGGGCAGTCAGAAATGAAAAGCTCTCAGTCATAACCAGAAAATTATATGGAGAACTAGATACTTTTTCACTTCTGCCTTCCTTTTTGTGCTTTTAGGTCTTTGTTATTATGTAAAAATAACAAATAGGATTCTGCCCTCTTCTGGCTCCAAAAAAAATTTACCAAGAATTTTCACAAGAGCAGAAGGCTTGTTTTACTGAACACTTACACATGCCGGGTGAATTTGTTAGGTCTGGTGCTCTGGCAGGTGAACTAGTAATTTTTTCCCTCTTGCTCTTAACTTAATGTCACGGTTTACACTTGTAATATGTTGAGTGATTTTTACCCCAATTTGCTATAAGTACAGTTGGAAAAAGAGATACTAAAAATCACTTAAAATGTGTTTCTAAGGTGGAAAGTGTCAGGTTTATATTCAGAAAAGATAGTGCTTCTGTTCTAATTCTGAGATAGTGTCTGAAGGGAAAAATGAAAATCCTGACACCTATGTAACAGGGCCTGTGAGAAGGGCTGAGAAGCCATGCGTGTCACTTGTCCTTGGCAGATACCACAGAATTCAGAGTGGTCAACATGGAAGTAGATGAACACTTGGTTTATCAAGAGGGGTTGAGGAGGTCTAGCTGCATTCAAATTCACTGGCAGACAAATGAACAGGCCACCAAAGCCAGTGGAAAAATGCAAAGATTGTCCCGATATGTAAGAAGCAGCATCAACCAGGCTGGGCAGTCAAGCCCATGCTGGGTAAGAAAAGGAACACAGCACAGACGTGGACAGGCTGTGAAAACATTTACTGAGTTTGGGAACAGCAGCAAAAACTGGTTAATTAATATCCATTTCCACTAAAAAACTGTCTCCAACTTTTCTATGTATTCTCTTTTTCTGCCTCTTAAATAGTGTCTCTATTTCCCAAGAGAAACTCTCATGGTCCACTACTCCCCTACTCTCTAAAAGCTGAATTTCTTGTTTTTAATGGCTTATCCTCAATCTAAAAACACGTGTAGATTTTCCTTCTGCCATATAGATTTTTTTCAACAGTGTGAAGCCCTTGGTTTAGATTTTGTTTTTTCCTGTGTCCAACTTTTCAATAAGCCCCACCAATTTGGCTTCTTCAAAGTTAGTGATTTCTTACCTGTCAAACCCATGGCCCTTCATTCACCATGCTTGACTTGCCCTTCGTGAGGGATGGCCTCTACTACTGATTCTCAAAAGTTCTCCTCTCCTGAGCACTGCACTGGACTGTTTTTATTACTCCTCTCAATCTTTTTAGCCTCATTCTCCCTCACCTTCTGTCCCTGAGGCTGCACTTCCCAGAAGTGTTCAGGGGTCCTTCCTCAGCACGCCTCAGCCCATTGCATCTGCATTATGGTGTTTACTTGATGCCACTGACTCCCCAATCTGTAAGTCTAGTTCTTTTCTCTCTTCCTACTATACTTCCCATTTTTTAACCACTCCATCCACTGTTCCACTTCCCTTTTTCTGCTAGCATCTCAAGCGAAGTATGTCTAGAACCATAATTCTCTACAACTTCCACCTCCTCAAAGATCTTCCTGAAAATTCTTCACTTCTATTAACATCCATGAAGCCAACCTGATAAACTTGATTGTCATCTCTGACTTCCCTTACCAGATGAAATACAAATTCTTTAACTTAACATCTAAGGTCTTCCCCTGCCATAGGACCAAAAATTAAAATTCCCAGCATTCTCTTAGCAGTCCTATTTTTATTTTGAAAATAGGACAGTAATGATTAGGTTCTAATCAAGCTATCACCGAAATACTAATAGACTTTTTAACCTTGCTCCTTTGCTTGCATACCTCTTTCTGGAATATCCTTCCCTACACATTCACCCATTAAGAGGTCATGTGTCCTTTAGGTTCCATACTTCATGTGCAGATTTCACTAGAAGTAGCTTTGTCTCCCCTTTACCTTCACGGCTTTTAGTAAGACAAAGTCAGACGGTAGGAGCCATCATCTTCCTTTCCACTATTATGACCTAGGCTAAGTTCTCTGCCTCTCTGTATGACCTGCCGTTTAAGTAACTCTATCCTGAATGTTTTTTAATCATTCAGAACAGGAGTTACACAGTGTCAGTGTACATCTTTACTGGATAATGAAAAATCAGTTCTGTCCATCAGGATCCTGCCAGGAAACCAGAAACCACTCTAGGTCTTCCAAAGGGATTATCTTAATACAGGCAACTGGTGAGACAGGCGAAAAGCAGAAATGCCAGAGGGGATGAGCCCCTGCCCCACCCCCAACCTCAGGAGCTGCAGCAGCCAGTCCCACCTCTCCCAGGTAGGAGGGACTACAGAAGGAAAAAGCAGGAGTAGTAGTTTTTCCTACCCAGAACCCAAATACAGGGGTTGTCCGTGAGCTAGAGCCCCAGTGGGGATAGTCCAGGGCAAGCTGAGAGAAGGCCTGGCTGGTGGGAGAGGAAACCATAGAGTACACCTACTACCTGAGAAAATACGAAAAGCACAGGGACTACCCTGGCATCTTCCCAACTTCCATCCTGCCATCTTCGGGTGGTGCCCCCTAGTGGCCTTTAACTTCCACAGATTATTTTCTTCTTTATAACGGGTGTCATTTTCTTACGTAGGCTGTATCTTTTTAATAATGCCCAGAGAACATCTAATGATAAAATGCAAGAGCCTATACTGTCAAACTTAGGTTGGCTGCTGGACCTTACACATTTTTTAATGCCTAGAACCAGAATATACTTCCTGTTGGTGGTGAATCCCATATAAATAGAGGGAGGACCTGGATTCCAACCACAGGAAACAGAAGAGGATGGACGTCCCCCCTCGAGGGGGACGTCATCCTAGAGAAGTGCAGGCTTGAAATGAATCCTCCTGTTGGAGAGTAATACACAGAGAGCATTCCCAACAGCAAGACTGGCACCAGAACTGGGGGATACAGAAATCTAGGGACAGGGCCATGATAGCACCAAAAGTAGCAAGAGAAGAGAGTTTTGTGACAGGACAGGCCATGCTGTGCTCCCCTGGTTCTTGTTCCTATTCTGTAACTGTTCTGTAGCCTTCCTCAAAGTTTCGGGGATTCCTTTATTCGTACCGTTAGTCACTTCTGTTGTTTGCAACAAACAATTCGGATCAGTACAAGCTAGAACTGAGAAAACTGAGAACAGCCAAGAAATTCAGGTACTGACAATGTCACATCTCTAGAATTGTTCTTAGTTGACATCAGAACACTACAGTGAAATATTATATTTTATATTCAAATAATACTTACTGACTTTATAAATTATTAGAATTAGTTAATTTGCCATGATCTGACATGGGTACCTTTTCCAAGGTGAGAAGATTTATTTCAGACTGTAGACGGATTTCTGGTTTGTTGCTTTGCTGATCCTTGAACTGAAGAAACTCTTTTTCCAAAATCTTGTACTTATTTTCAGCATCATTAAGCTGTATTTAACAAAGGAAAAAGTACAGCCATTAAAAAATACCAGTATGCTAAGTTCAATACTACCGAATTCAACAGGGTCATTTTTCCCTTATGCTAAAACATGTTTATAGCAGAAAATTTAGGAAATCCCTAAAGTATAATGAGGAAAATTAACAACATACAAAAACTTTTTAAGAGTATGAAATTTGTTATAAAACCAGTATCACCAGAACATTTTTGGTAAATTTTAGATGGCAGATGAAATTCACTTTACAAAAATACCAATACTAGTAGGAGGGCACATGTAAGAACATATTGTGCATTTTATATATATATATATATACATACACATATATATACATATACATACCAGCTAATTATGGATGAAAACAAACTTTTAGTGTAGCATTTATTTTACTTATTATTTGAAGTTATAAGAACTTCATAAATCAAATACTATTACAACTTAAGTCATTTCAAGATGATTTGCCCCAATCCCTTCATTTTTGGCCGGAAAGTAGCAGAGACCTGAGTAGCATCGAATGTCTTTATCCCCTAGAATAATGCTCTGAGGAGAGCAGGCAAATACTTTGTTAAATTAAAAAAGCAAGACCACCTTGACTCAAATCTATATATAACTCCCCTTTGAAGAGTTTCAGAACTACCGACCCCTGCCCCCACCAAAACAGGATATAAAAATGTTCTTTTTGATTTGATCTGGGTTTTTTTTTAATGAAATGAAAATAAGCACTGTTAAAGATGCCTTCCAAAAACATGTCACACTATGACTACCAATCATTAGATAAACCCATTTATCTTCTCTCTAAGACATAAGACTTAACTGAATTTGAAACACTGAGAAAACCTGTGACAGAAATGGAACTTCAATTATCAATAACAAATTCTTATTTCATGCCAGTCAATAGAAATCGTTCTAATTAGAATTTAGCTAGCATCTTTAGGTATTAAGGTAGTCTGTTACCTGAAAATTTTTCATATGACTGAAGTTTACCTCTGCATATCTGAACTTTCATTTTTAAACTTGAATCAGAACCTTCCTCAAGCATCTCCATCACACTTATTTCTGTTTTAAACAAAAGCTAACAGACTTGATATTTATTATTTTTTCCAGCATTCAGAGAACTCATCATAAACAATTACTGTGACTCCAATCCAGTTGTACAAAAGTAAGCTATGAGGCATAAGGGCCTCTTTCTCTTTTGCTAAGTGGTCCCTAAACACGGACTGACTTGTGCAACTTGCTTTTCCTATACGAGCACACAGACACTTGACCCCCTTTCACTGACAGGGTATCTTTTTGTCCTTTCTACCTGTCTCGTTAGAACTATGTGTTGAGTATATGGAACCTGGTTCTGAATCAGGGCCTAGCATGTTTTCTTTTATATGAACTGTGAAATGTTCCCAGGTAAGGGCTGAGCACTTTCAGCTCCCAGACACGTGTGCTGCCCCACAGCTCCCTCCCCACTTCCCCACTAGATTTGCCCCAGGTCTCAGACTATGTTTTAGGGGAGTGCTTGGGGTAATTTTTCCAAAATACCAGTTTGTGCCAGAAAGGTTCTTCCCACAAAGATGTGAGCTAATTACGTCAGTCTGGGACAAGGTAGGAATGGTTTTTTTAAAAAGATCCCCTGATGGGGACGCCTGGGTGGCTCAGTTGGTTGGACGACTGCCTTCGGCTCAGGTCATGATCCTGGGGTCCCAGGATGGAGTCCCACATCGGGCTCCCAGCTCCATGGGGAGTCTGCTTCTCCCTCTGACCTTCTCCTCGCTCATGCTCTCTCTCACTGTCTCTCTCTCAAATAAATGAATAAAATCTTAAAAAAAAATTAAAAAAAAAAAAAAAAAGATCCCCTGATGAGTCTAAGACACATTAGAAGCCTCGATCTTCCTGCAAAGTGGGAGAAGCACTACCTGTGAATCCTAGTCACAACTGCCCACTTACATAACTCTTTTGTATTTTAAGTGAGGCCTCTATAACAATCACATTTGTATTTACAATTGCTTAAACAACGGGACTTTAACTGGCCCTGAACAGCTATGGAAACTATTCTTCATGCCAGAATTCACCGAAGAAGTCTGGAGGCATTCACCGTGCATATCTAATCTATGCTGAAATTTTTGAAGAAAGAGAAGCTTAATTTTTAACAGCTTGATCCTGCTTTTTTTCAGCAAATATTAATTCCCTATTATGTTCTGAAGACTGGCTGGACTCCAGGCATACAGATACAAACCCAAAGAATTTTATGGAGCTAATCATTTGACCCTGATCAAACTATCATGCTAATGAAAGTAAAAACAAACTGTTCTAACATCTAATAAAAACTCGACCGAGACTTGGAGAATAAGGGTCAGGGAAGATGGCTCTAGGGAAGTGGGCTATAAACCCAAGGAGGAGTGTAGCTCACGAGGCTGAGAGAAGCAGCAGACACCGAGATGCTCTGGGGAAGGCAAGCACAGTCGGCCTGAAGACCGAAGGACACCCAGTGTGGCTGGAGAGCCTCCAGCAGAAGTAAAGGACTGGGAGAAGCAGTGGGAGAGGTAGGCTGGGGGTCCCCAGCGACGCAGAGGTTTGTAGGGCACGCTTATCACTCTGGTCTTTATCCTAGAGCAGTAAGACGACACCAGAGGATGTCGGCGGAGGAGGTCAGGCTTCCCAAGTTTCAAAATTATCACACTGGCTGCAACAGAAGACCAGAGTGGAGGAGTCCGTGACTGCAGTGTATGGACAGGGGCGTGAGGGTGGGTTTCCCACGCTTTTAAGAGATCCAAGTACAGAGGCCAAAGGGCGATTAGATATATGGTTCTGGAATGCAAAGGAAAGGGCTGGGATATAAATGTGAAAGTCCCAGAGGTGCACAGTGTCTCTGAGGCCACAGGCACGAATAAGACTGTTCAGTTCCAACTGAGGCCTGGGCCGGGAGGACGTCCAACACTGACTGGCTAGAATAAGGGAAAAGAAGCCCACAGAGGAGCTGGAGGGGTGGCCCGCAAAGTAGAGGCAGACCACGAGATCACTGGTGCGCACCAACACCACGACAACAGTGAGGAAGCCGTGAGGAAGTGTGAGTCAGAGGACAGGAGGCTTCACAGCACCTGGGCTGACACCTGGCGGCAGCGACAGGGCCACAGAGGGGAGTGGGAGAGGCAGGCAGGGGAGTGTAAGGTAACGGAGCACAGACCGTTTGCTCCCCAAGCCTGGCTCACAACTGAACCGGGTCCAGGGGCACATGAACAATGTATTGGCCCCCATGAGATTTACTAGAAATAACAATCTGGAGTGAAACTTAGTTCCTTCTTATGTCAATAATGGTAAAGGAAGGAACATTATCCCAGTGTCATCTTTCGCTTTGATTTAGGAAGACAAGCTCTGACTTAAAGTACATCTGAATCCCGCCACCATCAATGTGATCAACAGTTGGACTGACTGTGTATCTTTCTAACTTTTCAGCAACTACAGCTAAGCTCTGAGCGCTGCTCCCACCTGCTGCTGCAGTCGGAGTTTGTCCTCTTCAAGCTGTCTCATCTTCAACCTCTCGAGTTCGACTTGATGCACACAATCCTCTTTGGATCTCCGGATAGAGTCCTGAAGTTCTTGCAGGTTCCGTTCACGTTCTAATTTCAGTTCCTTTCTTTCTCTTTGAACCTGACAACAGATGCATCTGTCAGAGGTTGGCTTGCTCTGGGCTACATGACACTGTCCAGTAGTCTCTCATCCTTATATACAATGTTCAGAATATGTACAAATTTATCTCCATGTCCTTCTCCATTATTAGAATTAATGTTTAAACATACTGAAATGCCACATTTTAATCCATCATCATTTAATTCTAATATAAAAAGTACCTCCAAAACTCCATACATGACTTGCAAAAAATTCAACTGAAAAGGCCCTAATCACTTAAAATTCCTATTTGAATAAAACTCACTGTATTACCTAAGCAAATATGCCCAAGTTTCTTTTCTTCTTTAGCGATTTCTTATATTCTGAGAGTGCCTGGGTGGCTCAGTCGGTTAAGCATCTGACTCAGTCTAAGATTCTTTCTTCCTCTTCCTCTACCCATTTCCCTATTTGCACACACTCTTTATCAAATAAATAAAAAATCTTTAAAAAACAGGGCACCTGGGTGGTTCAGTGGGTTAAGCCTCTGCCTTCGGCTCAGGTCATGATCTCACGGTCCTGAGATCAAGTCCTGCATCGATCGGGTTCTCTGCTCAGCGGGGAGCCTGCTTCCCTCTCTCTCTCTGCCTGCCTCTGCCTACTTGTGATCTCTCTGTGTATGTCAAATAAATAAATAAAATCTTAAAAAAAAACAAACAAACACAAATGGGGCCACCTGGGTGGTTCAGTCAGTTAAGCAACTGACGTTCCATCTCAACTCAGGTGTTGATTTGCGGGCGAAGCCTAGCGAAACGTGGAGCCCACCGAAAACAAACATTCTGCCTGGTAACATAGAAGGTGACTCAGCCTTAGTATTGATGTTTGACCTTAAATATATCAGTTTCCAAATCATTTTAGAAATTCCAGAAAATATATGAGAACAAAGTCAGGGAGATATGCTGAGAAAAATTTTGAGAAATACGTGTGGTTAGGGAAGGGGCATATAAATTTAATGTGGAAGAAATTCTAATTATTTTGAAACTTCTGTAGTAATTTAAATAAATATTTTGGGTAAAATTCAGTAAGACCTAACAAAATGGCTAGGTAGGCATAGCACTAACAGAAGTTTTCATCCATCCTTTGGAGCTAACCTTTAATGGTCAACAAAGAGGGGTATTCCCTTCTTACTGAGAACAAGGGCAAAAGGCTGGGCCACCAAGCTTGTACTACATTTTCTCTATGTGGGAAACTTCACCAAAAGTCTCTACCATTGCAGATGTCAGCCAAAGCTGGCTGAGTAACAATTAACATTTCTGATAAATACTTTGTTATCTACTCCTCCCATTCTGACCTATTATTGAATAGCACTTTTCTCCATCACGCCCACAAGACCATTTCCATGAAATGGATTTCGTACGAACATAAAGGAAAAGCAATAGCATGTACCTAGAGTGCAGATTCTGGAAAATGAAGACATAAGACAGGAATACAGTTACCTCCGATTCTGCAAGGACAAGCTGCTGCTCTCGCTTCTCTAAGTCAACTAGGGTTTTTTGAAGTTTTCCTTCTAGAACAGTATATTCAGCTACCTACAGTACAATAAAAGAAAAATTACCTTTTCCCCCAATTCAAAACATGAACAAAGTCAACGCTGCATACATTTTAACATACTGAAACATGTGATGTGGGAACAGGAAAATCATGAATTATATCCACCAATTCAAAGCAGAAATTCTTGCTAGTACTCTAAGTAAGGAAGCACCTCTAGCTTCTGCTTGGTTATCTCTAGAGACATCCAGTTTCCTGAGGAAGCTCATTCTCCCACTGGACAATACTCTGCCAATAAAATCCTATGTTCAGTCAACATCCAGCTCCTTAAAAATCTGCCTTGGTCACTACGCTGGTATTTCTCGGATGCCCCCTTCATCACTTATGCTCCTTCCCTAGAACTACTTCTGTTGCTAGGGCAGCTCGTCAGTTTCAAGTCCAACCTCCTCATGGTTCAGATCCAACTCTTCCTGCAGTTCCAATAACTGACCTCAGGATTACTTCTGCCCTCATGATTAGCCTCGTACCCTGGCTGCTGTAGGCCTGCAGTTCCGCTGTGAGTCCCGTTCACAGTAAGGAGTCTGCTAGCGCATCCTACACAGCATGTAGGACTCTTGACAGTTCCTGTCCTTCATTTCTAACTGATCATTTTTACTAGGACTTTCTGAACCAATTTTTCTATCCTCACCAATTAGTCTCCACAGCCCAGGCCGCATATTAATCTTTTTCCCATAGTCAACAGGACCTCAGTTTTATTCTCCCGAACCTTACTTGTACTCCTTAGAAGAAAAAAATATCTGTCTTCACGTATTTGAATCTGGTGATAGCCATCATATATCCTCTTAGTCTTTTTTCTTCTCCAAGATAAACACAAGTTTTAGCAATTATTCACATATTACCATTTTCACATCTAGTACCTTGGATTTAATCTAGAGTCTAGATGGTAGACCAAGTCTTTTAAAATAAATGTGGTACCCGATGTGATCTCACTACTTCAGAAGCGAAAGAATGTCCCCCACCAGCGACGAGAACAGCAAGTACATTAACTTGGTCTAAACTCACATGTGCTATTTCAGGATCTTAATCACACCATTTGCTGTGTCAGAGAAATTCCCCCAAGGCTTTTGTTTTTAAACCTGGGATAACTATACCCACACACCTGTTGTCCAGAAGACTGCTGTGACTACAGAATTTGACATCTGTCCTCATTAAACTTTATTTCAGTGACTTAGGCCTGACATACCAACCAATCATGGTCACTTACATAAGAATTCTGTTAATTCTACTACCTACTTTTGATTTATCTAAAAAACAAAAGAAAACAAATAAACAAAAACAAAAAAAAAAAACAACTAAGTGTGCCCTACCTCCTTATAAAGTCATATAGAGAAAGGGAAACAGGATGGTGAGTCAGAATTCCAATGTTCTGCCCCTGGCAACGCAAATGCAGGAGTTCCCAGAGCTCTGTCTCAGGAGGTGTCCTTTCCTGCTACATGACCTCTGCAGATGACCTGAGGCACCTACCATCACGTATATGAAGAACTCCCAAATCCAGACTGCCAAGTCAAAACCCCCTCCAGAGATTCAGACCTCGAATCTGCTGCATATGCCATTACTCCCTAGATATCTCAAACTCAAAAATGTTTAAAACCTGGAAATCACCATCATTTAAATAACAAGTTTTATGGCAAACCTAGTAGGTGTGGGTAAAATAAAGTCCTGTGGTACTTATATTCTGAGGGAAGACCCAACTATGAACAAGGAAGTAGATATTTAATGTAATCCGAACTAAATGCTAGGATGAAAATAAGCAGAATGAGTGTCTAGTTAGTGGCCGGGAGCAAAGGAAGAAGGCATATTTCGGAAAGATTATCCTGAACAGAGACCAGAAAGTACTTCTGACAAAAGGACATTCCATAGATCCTGAGGTGGGGGAAAGCCAGGTTGTTAAGAACAAACTGTAGCAGCAGGCTGACAGAAATGAGGTCACAGAGGAAGCCAGGAGGTAGATCGCATAAGGCCTTGAGGCCTTGTCGGACCCGGTAAACCATGAGTTTTACTCTATGTGCCAGGAGGAGCATGACAGGTTTTTAAGCCAAGGAGTGCATCGTCTGACCTCTGGTACCAGAAGTGAGCTACCGGGGTCAGGAAAGAGGAAGGGATACTGAGTTAAGAAGTAACTAGTCATCTGTGAGACACATAAAGTCATAAAGGAGGGAGCTCAAAGTGGTTTGTTTCCAGGATACATATTCAACGTGGAACCACAAGGATCTGCTAATAAACTAGATGTGGAATCAGAGAGTCAAAGATAACTTGCCTGTAGCCTGAGGAGCGGAGTAAAAGGTGTCACCATTTATTAAGAGGTGGAATCAACAGGAACAAACTTATACAGGAGGGAGATACAGAGCTTGTTTTTAGGCAGGTTACATTTGAGTTGCTTATGAGACAGTCAATGGACAGTGTCAACAGGCAAGATGCAGGGGATGCAAGCAGATAAATGTTATATATAACACATGTGTATTATGTACACCATGCACACTTGTACCTAACTTGTATAGGACAGTAAGAAAGTGGAAGACAACACGTGAAGAAATGTAAAAACAGAAAAGAGATTCAAGGACTGGGCCTTGGGGCAAGCCAATAAACCCAGCAGAGGCTGAAGGGAAAAAAGGACCCAGCACGAAAGTGGGGAAGGGGAGACGGGTGAATTCAATAGACAGGAGGAGAGGTCAAGCAGAGCAGTGTTTTAGAAAGGGCAAGACCAAACGGGTGAGGATGAGGGAGGGTTGGTTGAGAATTGTTCTGGAGAGGGAACAGAGTCATCAGGGAAAGCAGGAGGAGTGGAGGGTAGCCGTGAGTATTCCTTAAGCCTTCAGATCGTAAACCTCGTTAATGCCTTTTCTTTAACTCCCATTCCGCTTTTCTCCACCACCTTATCACTGCTCTGACTTTTGAGCCTTCATATCCTTTTATATCTATTATCACCTCCCCGGTCTTCCTGACTTGAGCTTTACCCTCCTCCACTCTCTGCCCACTAGACTTCCACCAGAATAACTGTCTGAAAATGACAATCTCATTTCCTTGTTCTCTTACATAAATGTCTTCATTAAAAAAAAGTAAGTTTCTCAAATTTCTACCTTTCCCAAGCTGGGTTACCAGCTGAACCACAGAACATAACAAATGATTCAAGTAAGTATTTTCTCTGTCTCCTCTTAAAATGGCACACGACTCTACCAACACGTAGAAGCACAGGCTAAAGTTAATCCATCAGCGACCTTGGATGCTGGCAGGCATTAGGCCTTAATTCTCTCAGGAAACCCTGGCTGAGAAAGTCTGCAGCATCAAGTATAACCTCCTCAAAATGGAACAGAAGAGAATTTATATTCCATAAACCTCTCTAAACCTTATTTCTTGAGGCATACCCTCTCCTCTCTCCTTCCCACATCAAACTACATACAGTTTTCTTAACGCCAAGCCAATTTCAAACTTCTTTGTTTGGAATGTCCCTTGAGTCCACCTAGTAGTATCTGCTAATCTGTATCAAAGTGAAAGCATTATCTTATCCATGAAACACTTCCTCACATTATTCCCTTATGTAGAACTGAGGTCTTCCTTCTTTGTGGGTACACGATAGCGATCTTTTGCTATCTGATGGGAAGTCATGCAGAAGACAGAAGAAACATGATGTCAGCTATGTAGAAGGCAGGACAGGACCGGAGTATCATACTCATACAACATTAGTTTAAGACACATTCATTACTTAACAATCACTGGGTTAGCTTATCAGTCTGTACAACCAAGTCTTTAGCAATACACTGGATTCTGGAAATAAAGATTTGATATATTTCACTTTTCCCACAAGGCCTCAAGGCCCCAAGTGGATGGTAGATAGGTCATTATATTATCTGTTTCAAGGTTAACTAACCCTTCATTAATTTGGGGGGAAAGTTTATGTATAACTCCAGAGAATAATAAATTATTTTATCAAACAGAAAAATTTCCACTAAAACAATCTGCTCCTTCTCAGGGAACAAAATAATGCCTCCAAAATTGTCCCAGAAGATGACCACAAAACATTAACTGATAGACTAATAAACCCCATCACCCACAAGGATATATACCATTAGATGCCTATCATAAGCTTAAAATATTAATTTATTATTATGAAATACTGGTGTCTTGCAAATCTAACTCCATGTAGTTTTATTTACTACCTATACTCCTTCACCACTACATCCTGAATTGGTGGGCTATTAGCTAGTTAGCATCTTTTTGGTAAGGCAAGATGGAAGTTCCTCATAATAAGCAGATGAGTTCCATTTTACTATTAACTAGTTATTTTGAGCCAAAGAGCAGAAATAAGAAGAAACTTAAATGACTGCATAGTATGTTCCACCAATATTACCCAGACTCCTTCAGGTGAACTTTCTAAGTATTAACAGAGTTATACATTGAAGAAAACAGGTAAATAAAGTGAAAATAAATGAACACAAAAGGCCCATACATTTTAGACCTAAAAATAGTACAGTGAGATTCAGAGAATTCAGCTTGAAAAGGTTTCATCCTACTGAGGAAAAAATTGTTTTTTTCTTCCCTAATGGACTCAATTTCACAGTAACTTATCAAGTTTTAGAAAACAGATCTCATCCTAGTTGACCATATTCTTGCAAGGTGGAGCACACCCTACACTAGATGACTTGTTACTGTCCAATGTATTTCAGTCGAAATACAATGGCAACATCCAATGTACTTTTTGACGGGACTAATTCAAATAAACAGCTCAGCCACTTACTAGACAAATATATTCCATTTTCTGAGCAGAGCTCTTACTAACTAGTCAGAAGCTTGTCAATTCAAGCTGAAATGGTAGGAGAAATTGTATATATGGGAAGCCAATTGAGAAGACTAAAAAGCAAAATTACAACCAACCAAAAATGACTTTTTTCATTACATAAAAACTGATTTTTCTTTTTCTTTCTTCTTCTTCTTTTTTTTTTTTTTTGGCACTAGAAAGTTCAATTAGGGCACAAGCTGGATTTGTTAAAATTATTAACTAAAAAATGTTTCAAGATTTGACTTTTGCAAACCTCAACCCTGGAAAACTCTTCAACAGCATTTAAAAAATGGTTCAACAATAAACTCATCTTGGGACGCCTGGGTGGCTCAGTGGGTTAAAGCCTCTGCCTTCGGCTCAGGTCATGATCTCAGGGTCCTGGGATCAAGCCCCACCTCAGGCTCTCTGCTCAGCGGGGAGCCTGGTTCCCTCTCTCTCTCTGCTTGCCTGTCTGCCTGCTTGTGATCTCTCTCTCTGTCAAATAAATAAATAAATAATCTTTAAAAATTAAAAAGAAAACAAAAAAACCCCAATAAACTCGTCTTGCCTTAAAAGCTAAATGAAAAATTCAAAAACTTTAAATATTATATGGCTCACTCAGATGCAATTCATAAAGGATACTTGAGAACTATAAATGCTACTTAATATAAAAGTCATATTTAATACAAATACACACATACTATAAAGTTTGTGTGAGGGCCTCTGACTTTTTAATTTCAGTTATTTGCATGTTAAAGAACAGATGCTTTAAAGTAGTCCTATTATCTTTTTCTTATAACTCACTGGTTTTTCACATTTTTAATGGTTGAGAATTAAGGGAGATAAAGTTCAGTTACTTTAAAGTCAAAGGCTTGGGGGCCTTCTGCTCAGTCTACCCAAGAAGACTAACCGCCCTGACCTCCCCCAAACACAACTGGAACAACCCACACAGAACAACTGCTTTCACACGCTGAAGAATGGGTGGCCCAGGACCATCATCCCTGACAGAGCAGAAAGAAATGAGGCCCTAACAGGAACTCTAGGGCACTTCCTAGAGGAATTTTCCAGACACTAGCTCAGAGGAGGGGGGACCCTGCAGAGCCTCACAATCTGGCTGAGCTGAGGCAACAAATAGGTGAGTGAAGAGACAGAGGTGAGTGAAGGTCATGAGGGAAGAGGGAGATGCAGAGACAGCACCAGAGACGTGCAGAGTAGTCGGCAACCCCGCAAGGCTGGGACATTACCACTGGAAAGCTGTAGGATGAAGCATTCCCAGAGCTTGGACAGGTCTGAGAGGAGTGTGCGTTCCTACCTGTTCGAGGGGAGAGACGCTGTGACACACCAAGGCATCTACATACTCCTACGGAGCCCAAGCAGTATGGGGTGTTCTCAACTCACCCTAGCCAAACTAAATTTAAAGGATCCAACTCATCCCAAGGAACATCACGTCACGACAAGATCCATCAACTGACTAAATGTAAAGTTCACAATTTCTGGTATATAACAAAAAATTATTCATCATGCTAAGGAGAAAAATGTAACCTATGACCAGGTGAAAAAAACAACAGAAAGGGACCTGAAAATAATATAGGTGTTGGAACAAGTAGATAATATATTATAAAAATATTGTAGATACTGAAAAGGAAAACATGACCATGAAGAAAAGTGGAATATGTTTAAAAAAAAAAAAAAAAAAGGAAAAGGTCCTAATGGACCTTTCAAAGACAGAAAGTGCAGTATATGAAATGAAAAATGCTCAATTAGGTTCATGGCAAATTAGACCCTTCAGAAGAAAAGACAGGTGAACCTGAAGTCCCAGCTATAAAAAACACCCAAAATGAAGCACCGAGAAGAAAAAACAACTTAAAAAAATAATGAACGTCTTACAAGGCGATATCAAGCAATCTCAGATACCTGTATATTGCAACCCAAACACAGGAGGAGAAAGAGACACAGGAAAAAATTTTAAGCAATAAAAAACCCAGACTGTTTCAAACTTGATGAAATGCTACAATCAAGGAACTCACAATTCTCCAAGGAGGGTGAACACATCCACATCCACACACACACACACACACACACAGAACCGCAAGGCCCATCAAAATCATAATGCTGAACACTAGTGGTAAGGAAAAAAGCTTAAAAGCAGTTCAGAGAAAAAAATGAGACATGACAAATAGAAGGCCATGGTAAAAAGGCCAGCGGACTTTCCATCAGAAACAACACAAGCCAAAACACAAATGAAACAACTTTCAAGACTGAAACAAAAAAATTGTGAACTGAGAATTCTATACCCAATGAAAATATATTTATTCCAAAATGAGGGAGAGAAACCCTTCCTCACACAAAAGCGGACAGCATTTATTGCCATCAGACCCATACTCCAAGGAATGTTATGTATTTGGATAATAAAGAAGGACTACTGCCTCAGAGTTGTACTTCATTAAAAACACTAACTCTTTAAAGCAAAAATATATTTTAGGGTAATACATGTAAAAGCAAAAATCTATGATGGTAACAACACAGAGGACGTGCAGTGGTCCAACACGTGCAGTGGTCCAACAGCACTTGGAAGCATACTGTGATAAATTAAAGCTGCATATTTTAAACCTTAAAGTAACCACGGAAAAAAAGGCAGAAAAACAGAGATACAGCTAATAAGGTAATAGTACAAATAAAATGGGATCATAAAAAGGTCAATATATCCAAAGCAGAAGACAAAAAAAAAAGCTAAGATGGAACAAATGGAAAACCAAGAGCGAAAAAAGTAGATTTAAACCCAAGCATATAAAAAAAATAAAATAACAAATAAACCCCAAGCATGTCAATAATTACCCATTAAAAAAATGCTTGAAGTCAGAGAAGAAAATAAAGTAACTTCCAAAAACATTCTAGTCCGTACCCTGCTCCTGTCTCCTGGTCAAGTGTAACAAACCATCCTGCCATTGGTGTCTTCTCCATTTATAGATACATCATTAACCACTAATACAAAAGTTAAATTTCAGTATTTGCAACACATCTAATTTTCAGGGTTTTTGTTTTACACAATAACTTGAGTGTGAATAGGTAAGTATCGAACTTCTGCTTTCTGGAGTAAGATCAGATGGTCTCATTTTCTTTTTAAAGATGTCATTTTTTCCAGAATTAAGTTCTTTAAAAGGGCATCTAAGTTTCTGATGTTTTTTTATTAACAAATTATAACATTTATATATATTTAAATGTCTTTTCTTTTTTCATACAGAAGTAGGCTTTTTTCCTAGAGTATTCATTTTTTGAAAGAATAATACATTTTCAGGGTTCAAAATCGAAAAAGCACCTAACAGCTTAAGAGAAAGGCCTTCCTCCTACTCCTGACCCATTCATCCACTTTACCCAAGCCAATGTACAACCACTATAACTTCGATATTCCACAGATTTTCTTTAATGCATGTACCAGGTATTGTCAATAATAGTTTCCCTTTCCACCTTTGATGTCTACAGATGTGATTACCTTTTTCTTTACAAGCGATTCTCTCTCTCGGTCTCTTTTCTTCCATTCTTCTGCAAGAGCCTGCATATGAGCCAATTCCTTCTGCTTTAGCTACAAGAGGAAGACAAAACAGTCACAGCAAACACGTCAGTATTTCCAGCACACAATCAGTTGTTCTGTGGTAAAGAGTTAATACTGTTCACCACTATGTTTCTTCCAGGATTCTCTTTTATTCCTAAACTAAACAAAGGGAAGGCCTGAGGCAAGAAATGCCCATATGAGAATAAAGCTAATGTAAGACCTGTTCGCTAACTCTCGTTTCCAGAAGAATGATTCCAGGCTCCAGGAGGAAATGCTACACGAGGGCCTGAAACCAAAGGAAACGTTCAAGTATTCAAACTTTGCCTTCTAACCTTCAGTCCAAATCCTGCCCCAGAGTCACGGAGAAAGTTTAGGGCAATTCTTCTGCATGGCTTCTGCCCAGCTGTCATTTATGGAGTACTTTTTTATCGTTTTTCTGTAAGAGTAAAGCATTCTGGATATTCAGAGGGACTGGGTAGGGTACCCAATGGACAGAGGGAGAAAAGCCTTACAGAGAAGAAAAGCTATGTAGTCAGTAGATAAAGTCACCTGATTTTCAAAAATGTCTTCCTGCATCTCTTTCCACATTTCCAGCTCCAGAGCAGCTTTGTATTCTAAGGTTTCTCGAGGCTCTGTCTGGACTTCTGAAGGACAAGGTGCCGGAGGAACAGAAGGTGGCTTCTGCTGCACAGCAGATAAACCCTGACATCGGAACGAAAATGAAATGAATCCCACACGCCCACACCCGCAGTGCAAGAGATCCACCGTGAGAAGTCGGGTTTCATTTTCAGGGATACTGACCTGAGACGAATCAGAGACAAGGATCTCACGCATTTTTACGAGTCCATAATCTTCAAGAGTTACTGTGTAAGAAAGATCCATTATCCTGTTGTTTGACCTACAGATGGATCAGAAATATCTTAAAATTCATGGAAACCCTTTCCCATTATTTCTTCGTTTATTTCCCCAATGCTATACAGTGACTCAGTCGCATTTCTTAAACCTGACACTCTCGCTACTCCAACTGCAGTAAGTTCTCTAGGCTTCAATCAAGACCTTCCACATACAGGATTGTACTTGAGCATAAACACTCTAATTAGCACATACCCACATTTATTTAAAAATGACCTCTAACACTGTAGGTGTAGAAAAATGTAAAAACCTAATGTCGGTAGGTAATCATTACTGAGCTTTCATTTCCTTCCTCTCTTCCATATTCTGCATGTGCAGAGGGACACGCACTCATGCATGTTAAGATCAAACCATTCTGTCCCTCTCTCCATTTCCACCTGGAGCACTTCTCTGAGGTCATCAACAGTAACTCAATGTATGCTTTAATACCTATACAACATCCTAATGAATTTATATAGTAAAATTAAGAAAAAAACAATTTCCCTCATCTTGATTATATAAAGATTATTCTGAATTCTTATTCTACCTTTTCCCTTGGACGAAGCACTTGTACATAAATCTTTTACTGGATGTGAGTGTTGCTTCAGGATAATTTCTGAAAATTGGTTAATTATATGTAATTATTACAATGAGGATTTCTCTATCAGAGAACTACTAGGAGCATTTACAAAACTGTTAGAGGAGAATACAATCTTGGCTACAAGAAACGTAGCTTTGTCTAAATCTGTTCCATAAATCCTTGGTCAAACACAACTTCAGTGAATGGAACCCACACACGCAAACCTTTAATAATCAATTTTTACATTTTCTTCTAATCTCATAGCCTTTAGAAGACATGAATACAGCAAAATTAAGCACTGTCTTACCTAAGTGTCCTAAAACTTTTCTGTCTACAGAGCAAGGCAATAACAATTAAATGTTTATAACCCACAGATTTAAAACAACTTGTAATGATCTGATTATTTTCATGATTTTCTACTTATGTCACCAATGTTTTTTTTTTAAGATTTTGTTTATTTGGGATGTGTGGGTGGCTCAGTGGGTTAAAGCCTCTGCCTTCGGTTCGGGTCGTGATCCCAGGGTCCTGGGATCGAGCCCCGCATCGGGCTCTCTGCTCCGCGGGGAGCCTGCTTCCTCCTCTCTCTCTGCCTGCCTCTCTGCCTGCTTGTTCTCTCACCCTGTCAAATAAATAAATAAATAAATAAAATCTTTTGAAAAACAAAATTTTGTTTCTTTGACAGAGCCGGCGAAAGAACACAAGCAGGGCTAGTGTGAGAGGGAGCAGCAGGCCCCCTGCTGAGCAAGAAGCCCAGTGCAGGGCTCCACCCCAGGATTCCGGGATCATGACCTGAGCCGAAGGCAGACACTTGACCAACTGAGCCACCCAGGCGTCCCAAGAATGGTATTTTTGGAAGAATCTTCGGTTCAGCAGAATATCTGACGCTGTAAAGTACCTGTTCCCAGATCCTCCAAGTAAGTCCGTTTTATTCAATTCTTCACTCCCTGGAAGTGAGTGGAGGTGGCGAACAGTAAGGGAAGGGATTTCAACGCTACTTTTAGGACCACAGCTTTTTACTGATCCTGATTTCTTTCTACCTTCTAATTATGCTTCAAAAATCCAGGTACGCGATGTATAATGTTCAAGTTCATTTAAACTTCTGTTGCTAACTTTAAAAAGCTCACTCAAAAGATGTCATTTGTGGAAGACATGTGAACTCCAGTTTTTCACTGCGGCAGTAAAGCCCAGGGCAGAAAAACAATACTCTTCTTAAAGTGCCAAATATTTGTAACATTCTCAGCAATTAGAATTAAAGCAAAAGTTGAAATATTGTCAAGTAGAACAACAGTCACTCCCAATACAAGACAATGTAACAATGCATCATAAATTTCACCTTGACTTACAAAAAAAAAAAAAAAGGCCAGAATTTACAATTGTCAGGCTTAAGGCGGGTGGGAAATACTTAAGAGCCTGAATGTTAACAGTATCACAGGCTATGGTGGTACCTGAAAGCTACAGAGGGCTAGACAGCAAAGGAGAATACAGCCCCCATGTGAGAACAAAAATGACAGGAAAGGACAAGGCGTAGTCAGCTAATGAGAAGAAAAGGCAAGGGAAGGCCAGTTCTGGGAAATCCATTACCCCTGTGCGGCTATGAAAGGCACACTTTCACTGTAAGTCTGACGCCAACACTGTTCACCACTGGAACCTAAAAAGCGAGTTTTTTCTGAAGACAGGACGTTAGAAAGCTGGATTCTGGCGATCCCCAGAAGTAAATCTTTACTCATTTTATCCTTGTGCCATAATTCAACCAGCAATGGAATCCTAAGGAAAAGAGAAACCAGTGTTCATAACTATCAGTTCTGAACTAGGGCACTGACATCTTTGAGTTTCCTGAATGTATTCAGAGATGGTTTGTTACCTGGATCAGAAAGGCTCAATTCCATAGGTAACAAACAGAAAATACTATCACATTTTCAACATCTCTTTCTGTGCAATAAAGAAAACCCTTCAAATACTATTCTTTTTTATTCTTCCTTCTTCTCTTTAAATTAATATGCAATTTGAATGGCGATACCCTGAGAAAGTAAGAAGACGTTTCTGATCTCACTTTTCTTCACAAATCCAATTCAGACAGCTGGATTAACACCTCCATTTTATACAGATGACAAATCAGAAAAAGCAAGTAATACATTACAGTCAACTGGTGAAGCAAGAATGAAAAGTAAACAGCTTGCTCGTATTTATCTTCACATATTATGAAAAAAACAAGACTACTTTTCAGAGTTTCTTCTTTACTCATAGATTGTATTAACACAGTTCTTCCATCCAAATCAAGACAAAGAAGATACGAAAATCTACAAAGAGCCTCCATAACTACATTAAAACTTGACAGCAGAAGGACAAACGTCACCGACCTTCTTAGCACATTTATTTCTAGATTTCTTTTTGTTTCTTTTTTTTTTTTTTTCCTAGGTTTTCAAACGCACTGACTGATGTGAGTCTAAAACTCTAGGAATTCCTCTTGTTAACAGGGTATCAATTTTCCAGAATGACTTCAGAGCATATGCACCGTATGCATATTACCTTAAGAAGGTATCCTGCAGCTGATGAGGGAGAGTTGCAAAATCAAACGCACAATAAGACTGTGGAAGAAAAACCTCCATGTTTTTGCGAACTTCTATGGGAGGATTAGTCATAATGGGAGCTGCACTACCAAAGAATGGATAGGAGTACCTAGAATGTAAGAAAAACAAAGTCCTATGATACATTTGACAGATAAAACTTAGTCTGTTTTTTAAAAATATACTATGAATATAATGAACAAATACAATTTTTAAAATTGGTAGATGGTACAAATACATGATGGTTTTAGTCCTAACACCAACTTTAAAATACTGCCAATACTGTCAGTGTTGACATAGAAATTGTAGCAGTTCTAAAGAAAAGCATTATGTGTTCAGCACTAGTTCCCAAAGCTGCTTTACAAGTGATCCTAGAATGACCTTCTGGGGAAGTAGAATTCTGGTATTTTGAAAGCAATGACACCAAATAAGGAAGAGCTCATCATTTTGATACATTCTAAGTAAGACTAAGATTTAGGAATGACAAGGAGGCCACTAAACAAAGACCAAGCTGCTATTTGTTTAGGAGTTCCTTGAGGGCACAGGGTCCCATGTTTTTTATCTGTGCCGTCCCAGGAACAAATAAGCAGTTTGGGGCACATAATAAACATTCCAGAAATACTTGCTGAATTTAATTTCAAAACTTATTTTCTTTATTCAATAATGTCTTGATGTTTATGGGCTAAAAAAACTCCTAGTCAGAGCCAAAAGGGTGCACCCATGGCATTCTGTCTTTGAAAATCAAGGATGAAAGCAGATGAGTCAATGAGTAACAAGTCTTTCTTCTTGTCATCGCAGAAGCCGCACCAGATTAAATGGGAAGCTGCCTGACTACTGTAGAACTTACTTTGTATTGACAATGTAATGCTCACTTAAATTTCATCTTCTATCTTGTTATCCCTTAGGAAAACTGGGGCTTAAAGCCTAGTAGTGAAAACTCCTTTTCCCACAACTAAGAATCCTGCGCACGCCTCAATTCATATATAATTACACATCACTGAAATCAGGTCATCTCACAAATCCCATTATGCAGTTGCCAACTACAGTTTCATGATAGTTCATGAGAGCATGACACCATAAGATTTCTCAAACTCAAAGGTAAAGTGTTTTTTAAAAAGCCATAAAATGACTTCCAAGACAGAACCAATGGCTCTCATCATCAAGTGAATTCTATGCAGGGTGTGTAAGTGAATCGTAACTGTACCATTGGTTTATGGTACTCTCCCCCTTTTCTTTGCCAACTGGACTTCTGGCCTCCCTCATGTGTTAACTTCTTTCTCAATCTGTCTTCTTCACGAGGCTGAGCACTTTGTTTATATGACCTATAAACCCCTAACATCAGGCACACAGGTATTCATGATTCAACGATGGCCCACAGGACAGGACTGAACCACAAAAACTACGACGAGTGCCTACTAAGTGGGCTGGTTCAAGGCTTCCCCCTCACAGCTTCTAATTTCAGATTATCAGTATTTCTATGCTCTGGCTAACAATATCTCTAAGTACCCTGAGGTCACAGTCTCTACCAGCAGCAGTAAAGAGATCTCAGTTAGAAAACTAGAGGGAAAAAGACAAAAAGGTAAAGTAGAAAGTCAATAATAATTCTATTTCTAAAAACCATTTTAAGGGAGGTTTTAGAAACCCTCTGAGAAAAGTTCTGTTTGTGAGATAAGCCTTTTTTTTATGGCCCTCCATTTTCAACTAACATTTTCATAATGATTCTCGGCCTCTAACAAGAGGCAAAAAGCAAAACAAGCTGTGACAGAGAGACACCTGTTCTGTGAATTCACAATCAGACTCAGTGTTGGGTCCCTTTGATTCTGTCCAGTATTCACACCAAAGTCCAGAGGATTTTGGAAATAGCCTGATAAAAATCTAACAACTGAAAAATGAGATACAAGTATGAGTTAATTTATGCATCGGCAAAGCAGGTATGCCTTAATACCATCAGGGAGCACTGTGTAGTGGTAGACATTTCTGCCAACGGCAACCCCAAATGACAGAAAAGATTTTCACATTTTAAAAACATAAGGAGCAACAACTTTATTAGAAATGCTAATGCTTGCTCCAAAGACATGTATAAGGAAAAACTAAATACTCCAATGAAACACATTATTGTATTACATTTAATATACATTTCAGCCAGGAAGTTGATGAAAATTTATTATTATTAAAAACAAGCTAGTGAGGGTGCCTGGGTCGCTCAGTGGGTTAAAGCCTCTGCCTTCGGCTCAAGTCAAGATCCCAGGGTCCCGGGACTGAGCCCCACATCAGGCTCCTTGCTCGGCAGGGAGCCTGCTTCTCCCTTTCCCTCTGCCTGCCTGCCTGCCTGCCACTCTACCTGCTTGTGCTCTCTCACTATCTCTCTCTCTGTGTCAAATAAATAAATAAAATCTAAAAAAAAAACCCAAAATACCAAGCTAGTAAGACCATTTAACTGACTGAAATATATACGTAGTTCAATTTTGTACATGGAACGGGGTGAACACATTCCACTTGTGCTTCTGTAAGTATGGTTCTTACAGTCTCAGTTACCAAGTGTAGGTATTAGACTACAACCTCCCATTATAATAAAGTTTTATAGAAAAGTCAGATACTGGGGCACCTGGGTGGCTCAGTGGGTTAAAGCCTCTGCCTTCGGCTCAGGTCATGATCCCAGGATCCTGGGATCGAGCCCTGCATGGGGCTCTCCGCTCAGCAGGGAGCCTGCTTCCTCCTCTCTCTCTGCCTGCCTCTGCCTACTTGTGATCTCTCTCTCTGTCAAATAAATAAATAAATAAATCTTAAAAAAAAAAAAAAAGTCAGGTACTACACTTCCCTTATTTTGACCTATGGTACCTTTTCTAGAAACAACACCTTTTAAGTTCAAGAGTCACTTTGTTGTTGTTGTTGTTTTTTTTAACAAGCATGAATCAACTGTCATCAATACCTACAATTAGAATTAGCTCTCCTACCACCAATGCCGCCCTGGTTTAAGTTCAGTCGTTATGAAAGAGCCTGGCCTCCTTTTCAGTTCAGGGGTTTAACAATTGTTTGAATGTCTCTGGTGAGAGTTCTCCTGCTGCAATTCCCAAAGAGAGGAAAGGCATTGCTCTTCAGAAAATAATACTTGGGGACAAAATCAGATCACACCTTAATATACAGTTGATTGGAAAACCAACTTCCAAATCATGGATACTCCTTAAGTCTATCGAAAAGCAAAAATGATGTGATGTCGCCGGCACGGCAATCTTCTGTCCTGAGGCTGTTTCTGAAGCATGGGATGCGGGTACTGGCTGGGCCACAGAAGCAGGTATGGAAGGACCGACGGCTAGAACGAACACAAAAATTCCAAAGAAACAATTCCACTTGGTAACAGTTTCTCTTAAGTTATTTACATCACTTACGGATATCTCCCTTTACATTAAGTATGGCACTTTTTAAAAAAAGATACCTCATTTACCTTCAAGCAAGGAATTTGGTCACTTGCCTCCATGAACATATGAACTGAGCCATCAACTTCTTAAAGTAACTTACCCAAAACAAGGGAGGCTTTCAATCCCATCTTAGAACCGTGTAAAAAAGAGCTTACTCTTCACACAGCATGCAAAACATAAAAGCATATGCGACTGTCTACTGTCGCAGGGATGTATGCCTTCAGCCTGGCAGGCACCAACTTCTTTCCAAGAGGCAGCAACACTTAATATTTGAAGGGCTGTACTTGAGGCTTAGGGCAGATAATAACAACATCACTTTTTAAGAAGTAGCTTTGGCTATTTTAGGCACATATGATGTAGTCTAACAGAAAGAGCCATCTAGTGCAATCCTATTACAGACCAGAGAGGTTTAGCAAGTAGTTCAAGTCCTACAGCTATTCAGTGACCGAGTGAGAAGCTCCACCTTAACCCTTCACTGTTAATCCCCCACTACTCTAATTACTTTCACTACGAAATCCAACTGCAGACCCTCATGCAGCAGATGGGAAAAGTTTTTAAAACCAGGTAAAACCATTCCGAGTCTCTCCCTTAACTGTAGGATCAAACAAGGAGTGTAATGATTACTGCCGTAGGCAGTAAGCTCTTCTCCCTCAAATTCCAAATAATTCACAATGTTTAAGTGTTTACTAGTTAAAAATATGTTCTGAAGAACTACTTTCTGTAATTTCTTCTGAATAACCTATTGCTTCTAAAATAAAATAGAAAAATTCTCTTACCTTTTAGCAAATTCTATGATGAAGTTATAAACTCAATTTATATTTAATTCAATTTAAACTGATTTTTTTTTTTACATCACCAAACATCATTGGCTCTTTAAAAAAAAAAAAAAGCTCACCATTTACTTACAAACCGTGAAAACTCTCTTAATCATTAATTAGATGGCTATAAAATGTAAACCTAGAATATCTATAGAAAGAACATCTTACCCTTTGGATTTGGTTTTGTGTCCTTATCATACTGCAAGCTTTCCGCTTCACTTCCTGTTGCATCATCTTTTGTGGGAGGTGATGGGTTTTGAGGTGGAACAGGGGACACAGTTGGTGACTTTGGCCCAGTGAGTGTCTTCTCTTTTATAGGAGTTAAAACTTGCTTCTTTGAATGCTGTAGTTCATGTTCATTCTGGGTCTTTAACTCAATTAAAGACTAAAAACAATTTTTAAATAAAGTATAATTTGCAAAGCACTTTCCTTCATAATTAAGCAAAAAATGTGACGTTGTTTTTTTAAAAATATAAGCTTCCTTTCCCAGTTTGGATATTCCTAGTCTATTTTTCTTCATAATTTGCAAATTTTCTTATAGCATCTAGGACCAGAAAAAGGAAGATGAACAGGAAAGAAATATGATATCCAGAGCTGAGCACCAAAATGCATCCTAACTGGTAAGAAGGGATATTTGATATAACAAGTCAGGCCAGGTGTCCCTGGGAATGGTTATTACCAAGGCAATGAACACAATGGAGGCCTGTTACTCAAACAAAAACATATCTAAATTTATTTTCTTCCTCTCCTTTGTTCAACTTTCTTCTAAAGATATATACATACATACACACATACACACACACACACATACACACATATATGCACATACTTAAACTCTCACTTCAGTTTTTCTACCTTCAATTCATAACCTACCTAAAGATCAGTTCCTCAAAAGAACAGTACCCTAAAGTTGATTATATAGAATCAAAAAATGTTTTTACATCTGAACAAATACTGATCTCTGTTGCCTAAAGACAGTATGAGGACCATAAAGCACCAATGGACAAGAACTTTGTCTTGGCTCCAGCAGTCAACTGAAACCATTACCATCAATGCAGATTCCCCGAAACTGGGTCTAACAACATTCTCTTTCCCAGGAGTTCCTTTTCTGGCAGTGACTGACCAGGAGCTGGGATTGGGGGGAATGGTTCCTACTACATGAGAAGACAGCATGGGGGCACCTGGGAGTCTGCTTGAGATTTTCTCATTTTGCACCCTTCTCTCTAAAAATAAATAAATCTTTAAAAATAAAAAAAGAGCAGGGGGCATCTGGGTGGCTCAGTCAGTTAAGCATCTGCCTTTAGCTCAGGTCATGATCTCTAAGTTTTGGGATCAAGCCCCGCATTGGGTTCCCTGCTCAGCGGGGAGTCTGCATTTTGCTCTCCCTCTGCCTCTCCCTCCTGTTCGTGCTCTCTCTAATAAATAAAATCTTTAAGAAAACAAAACAAAACAAAACTGCACGCATGGAATCTATAAATACTTAATGAAGTAGAGCTGGGAAGCTACGGTACTTTTCAGAAAGGAAGTTATCGTATAACATAGGCCACTAATTAATAATAACAGTTTCCTATACAAGGTAGCTCTCTGGAAGTTCAGCTTTCAGAAGCAGTCCCGAGTGACACCACAAAAACTGGAGGAGGGGCTAGAGGGTCACCACTTGCCTGGGCATCTATGCCTTCTCTCTGCAGAGCCACAGACACGCCGACAGTCGGGGCTAGCTCCACAGGGATAGGCGCAAGCTTTTGTTTGGCTCGGTTTGGAGGGTCAAGAATAAAAGCACCCTCGACTGTGACTGGGCGCTGGTTGATTTCTGTACTCCCCTTTTTCAGGAGTCCAGTTAAGGGTACTTCTGTACTTCCAAGTGACTGGTCTCCACAGCAAAGATGTATCTAATGTGAAAGAGAAAAATCAAAAGAGGCTTAATATTCTCTCCTGTCTCCTAAACACAGAAACTTTAACAGATAGTTAGGGCACCAGGGTGGCTCAGTCAGTGAGCATCCAACTCTTGGTTTTGGCTCAGGTCATCTCAGGGTCATGGGATCGAGCCCCACATCCAGCTCTGCACTCACGCTCAGCATGGAGTCTGTTTGACTAACAGATTCTTATACTTGATGGTTAACATTGTTGATAAGGCACGAAGTTTTACTAAGAACTCAATAATAGGGGCACCTGGGTGGCTCAGTGGGTTAAAGCCTCTGCCTTCAGCTCAGGTCATGATCCCAGGGTCCTGGGATCGAGCCCCGTATCGGGCTCTCTGCTGAGCAGGGAGCCTGCTTCCTCCTCTCTCTCTGCCTGCCTCTCTGCCTACTTGTGATCTCTGTCAAATAAATAAATAAAATCTTTAAAAAAAAAAAAAGAACTCAATAATAAAGCCATTCGCCTCCATTTTTTCTCTCAATACTATATACTCATAAATTACCACCCTTCTCTCTTTTAGGAGTTATGGTTAAATATTTTACTATGCTATTTCACAAACTGTATCATGAATACATGCATGTAAACAGAAAACTAATACTTCAAGCATTTTTTTTTTCTATTTCCATTTCAACATTAATTTAAACACAGTTCTAAAAAGATAAGTAAGTTAGTGGATCCGGCCCTATTTGGCAACTAAAGAACCTGAAACAGTTTTGTTTTCTTCACCCATAAAACATCCTTAGTGTTTCTTTTTCTTCTCTAGCTTTTCAGATTCTATATACAGAACAATGTGGACCAGTACAAGGTCAAATAGAGTACCTGTTGGGTGGACTGAACTATTTATCATGGATAGCTAATCAAAACTTCAACATTATCCCCCCGCTTTGAAACTACATAAAAAAGAGGGGCACCTGGGTGGCTTAGTTACAGTTAAACAGCTGCCCTCAGCTCAGGTCATGATCCCAGGATCCAGGGCTCAAGTCCCATGTAGGGCTCCCTCTCCCTCTGCTTGTGCTCTCAGTCAAATAAATAAAATTTTAAGAAAAAAACCAAAACAAAAACACGGGGGAAAAAATGGCTATTGAGGTACCTACTGTGTTTTGTATTTTTTTTCCTTACTACATAGGCAAACATAGCATTCACATGCACAATAAGCAATTGCAACAGGAAACTATTTTACTTCTAATGTTGGCAATGACCTGTCACTTAGTTTTAATGTTATTAGGTAGGATGTTGGTGGTAGGCTGGAGAGTAAGGATTTTTAGGACTGAAATGTCCATAAGAATCAAACTAAGAGAAAGGTCATTACTTCAGTAAAGACTGGTATGCGAGATAAAAAAATGCAAGAGGTTTGGAAAGCTAAAAAGTACTGAAAAGAAGAAATGTGGGGGGGAAAAAAGCAGTTGATCATTTTACATAGTATTTCATTAGTCTCCTGGGTTTAGCAGAATCACTTCTAAAATTTAGTTCTACTATAATTTTTTTTTTGAATTTATTTATTTTAGAGAGAGAGTGAGCGAGCGAGCACGGGTAGGGGAGGAGGAGGAGAGAGGACCTCAAGCAGACTCCTCCATGAGAGTAGAGTCTGAAGCAGGGCTGGATGCACGGCCCCGAGATCACGCCCTGTGCTGAAATCAAAAGGCATGCGCTGCTTAACCAACTCAGCCACCCAGGCACACCCTAGCTCTACTCTAATTTCTTAATGCCCCCTTCCCATGTCCCACCTAAATTTGCAAGCAAAATCTCATGACTGATCATGTTACACAAATGAGGACCTAATCCTTTATTTCACTATGCCATTTTGGTCTGATTAAAAGCAAATGTAATAAAAAAATAAATAAAACAGTCATTTTCACTAGGTAAGGTTTACTTTCAAGAGTCCAGTAAAATTACTTTACAAAAGTACTAAGCTCAAGGGCAGGCTCTAGGAAGTTGTGTTATTTCTTTGCTTTTAATAGTAATAAGGTATATAAATTGTGAACTCTCCAGCATGTGATCTGTGTGTGTATAGCTACTATGCCCACTAATTAATGATGAAATTTTCCCTGAGCCTACTTCAGACTCCAGGTCCATTTTTTTAAATTATAAAGCCCAACAAGTGCCACTTCTTTTCATAGTAACTGGATAAAGAAGTCAATCTCCTAAAATTCTGAAGTAACCGTTATGCTAGGCCTTTACAAATCAGGATAATTCCTAAAAATTTAAAAGATGTGGCAGAGAGATCATCTTTGCTATTAAAATAGGAGTTTAGGTACCTCTCTGAAGCTTAAAAAAAAATCATCCCTAATTTAAAAAAAAAAAAAAAAAAAATGAATGGGGCGCCTGGATGGCTGAGTCCTGAAGCAACCGCCTTCAGCATGGGTCATGACCCCAGGGTCCTGGGATCAAGCCCCACATCAGGCTCCCTGCTTGCTGGGAAGCCTGCTTCTCCCTCTCCCTCTATTTGTGTTCCCTCTCTCACAGTCTGTGTCAAAATAAATAAACAAGCAAACAAATAAATAATAAAACAAAACTAAAATAAAGCAACTTTCTGCAATACTTACCTGTAGTTTAGACTGAAGAGCCAGGTAAACACGAAGAATTTCTATGCTGCTACGTATTCGAACAGATGCTCTCTCTGGCTCAAAGTTTGGGTTGATTAAATCATTGAAGGGTTCATTTGTAACATCATTTCCCAGCAAAGAATAGTAAAAGAAAAATTCAGGCTGTCTTTCTGGAAGCTTCATGGTACATGGAATTAACTAAACATTCAAGGAAAAAGAAGAGAGTATTAATTTGTAAACCACTATACATGCTACTCATGTCTTTAAGATATCTGCTTAAAGATCTATCTTAAAGACAAACTTTAAGATATCTGCTAAAATACTGATTTTTTTTAAACTTCTAAGTCTACAATTATTCACTCAGAATTCCTACATCTCTGAAAAATTACAACCAAATGATTGGTTTAATTTTTCAAGGCTTACTTCAGAAAAGCCCAGAGACTAAAATATTTTTAGAGATTTCTGTTGTTTTCAAGTTTACTTTTCATTCAACTGACCCATGAACGAGTACATGGAAGTTCTTTTAGAAGGAAGTGGTCAAGTATTTTAAACTGAGCTTTCTTTATTTCCATTTACCTTATTTCATCTTATTCTCACTCTGCCACCCTCTTCATTCCTAAGAGAAGGGTTTTAAACAACTGTAATCCAGACTATTAAATGTAACACCTTGGCCCAGGCCTTCGCAAAAAATGCTTTCTAGCCAATCTGTCCAAACTGGGAAAACTATAAATTAATAGTTGCAAAAAGACACTTGCTTTAATGCGAGTGTTACTTCGCAAAGTTCGTACTTTCATAGCCACGTATGGCAAAGACGTGGATTCTTGGACAATACAATATGGAGTCATCTAACAGATCAAGTGCTCACTAGCACACTGTTAAAAAGACAGTGGTTGTGTTCATCGATGAGTTTTGAATATATCCTAGTGATCATACAACAGGGCTGTTAAATAACTATATCCTGACATGACAGTTACCTAAGACATCCTTTTAGGCCAAGCAGAGTTACAGGACAGCTTGTAGAGTTCGTGAAAATAAAAGAATTAACGACTTAGAATAAAACAGCCCCACATTCAATAGTCACTGGTCTTGTACGAAATAACACAGTAGATACTCAACAACTCTTGTTTCATATAAAGTATATTTTTGTATGTGAAGTAAATGCTTACTTGAACCCCATACATTCAACTGTATTTGAGTAGGTTTTAGTCTATCTAGAGAGAGCCAGCACTTCTATACCTACAGTTGTTAAGAGCAGATTCTGGATTAAGCCCCCAATTCTGGTTCCATCCATGGGTTACTATGAAGCTTTGGACAAACTACTCTATCGCTCTGTACCTCCGTTTCTTTTAGGCTTGTTGGAAGGATTAGAAGAAAGAATACTTGTTCAATAGGACAACTCCACCACCCAGCACAGAGTCAGCTGTGCACAGCTGAGCTGTGCTCAGGAAAATCGGAGGCAAAAATATAGTATCCTTACCAGTGACTATTTCAGAGTTTAATTAGACAAGACTTTTGTTTCTTCCATCATCAGAAAGCAAAAAAAAAAAAAAATTTTAAGAACTAAAGATAGCCCTTAAATATTTCACAGTATATTTAATTTTAAGTTAATTCCCACTAAGAAAAGATTCTTTCAAAAACCCTTTAACATCTTTGTATTTGGAAGGTAATTTCTTTTAACCTTCGACATTCAATATTAAGAAAACCACCCAGGGGCGCCTGGGTGGCTCAGTGGGTTAAAGCCTCTGCTTTCGGCTCAGGTCATGATCTCAGGGTCCTGGGATCGAGCCCCACATCGGGCTCTCTGCTCAGCAGGGAGCCTGCTTCCTCCTCTCTCTCTGCCTGCCTCTCTGACTACTTATGATCTCTGTCAAATAAATAAATAAAATCTTTAAAAAAAAAAAAAAAAAAGAAAACCACCCAGTCCTCCTGCTCCTAACTAATTCCTCCGTTTTGCAACAGGACAGCACATGTCCTGAGTCACTGAGGAGCACCTGAAAAGGTATTATTTCTTACCTTTATTTGTTGCTTGGTGCTTTCTCACACTACCTTTCTCACTAGTTTGAGAAAAAAACTAAATGGCTAATTTATAAAACCCTTGGCTTGTCTATACATAATGAAAAAAGGAAACAATATCAAAAGATGACTAGATTACTGGGCTCAATTTTTTGTGTTTTTTCATTATTGTAAAATACATGTAACAGAAAATGTGCCATTTTAACGATTACAAAGCATGCACCTCAGTAACACTGAGTACATTCATTAGGCTGTGAGTGCACTGGTCACATCTGGTTCCAGAACGCTCTCATCATTCCCAGGACAAACACCGCACCCATGAAGTAGTCTCCATTCCCCCTCTCCTCCAGCCACAGAAAAGCACCCATCTGCTTTGGGTCTCTATAGGCTCACCTATGCTAGTCTATTTCATATAAATGCAAGCACACATCAGGCGGCCTTGTGTGTCCAGTTTCTTTCACTTGGCATGCGTTCAAAGTCTGCCTACACTGCAGCACCTGTCAGCACCCCGTTCCGTTATAGTCGCGTAATATTCCATTGTACGGACGTGCATTTGGTTTATCCATTCATCCAGTGGCAGACAGCTGGGTTGTTTCCACCTTTTGGAAACTGAATACTGCTTAGTACATTGCTGTGCACGTTCTTATTTGTACACCTGCTTTCAGTTCTTTTGATTCACACCTAGCATTGACATTGCTGGATTCCACGCTAGTTCGATTTACTCTTGAGAGAAAACTGTTCGGCTTCCTTTTTAGCAGAGAGAGCCAATGGTCAGTCATCAATCTGGTTTTTGAGTTTTTAAAAACTAAACGGAGGGACTGGTCCCAGTAAATCATCTTGTATTACGAAAAGCTGTTTTAGTTGTGGATTCAATAAGTCAGTTACTCTCAACAAGCTTTTACTGTACAAATGTAGCTTCACACATACAAACTACATGATAGTCATTTTGGTTATATTATCTCATCCCTCATCCTTATATGGAAAGTTGGTATTATCGCCACTCGACTCCTGAGAAAATTCAAGCCTCAGAAAGGTTACGGTGCCTAAACTGAAGGAGCCAGCTAGTAAGCAGTGAGTAAGCAGAGAGAATGCAAGCCCCATGCCAATCCATCTTACTCCGAAACTGTGTAGGAGGGAAGAGAGCATAATACTGGAACAAGAGAATAAGGGAAGTGACTCTATGTCCAGAAATACGCAGGCCCTTTACTTAGCTGTAAAACCTAAGAAATGGTTTCCTGATCTTGAAAATGAAAATAATAATCCCCTAAAGTTGTGGGAGGATTAAACACAGTAGTTAGCATAATGCCTGGTCCACAGAAAAGGACACACAGTAAATGATGAGGAACAATTATGCCACCCAGGAGAGTTGAAAAAAATTAAAGTGGTAATGTAAAATGCCTTTGCATCTACTTAATAACACAGTAAAAATATAGCGGCCTCATTATCTAACATGTACCCTGATGTGGTTAATGAAGGCAGTGGACATCTGACCTTCCCCCAGCAGGAACGGCATATTAAGGTGGAGCTATTCATAAGCAGGGCTTTATGAAGAAAAAGAGAGAAACTGATGGAGAGCCAAAAGCATGAATCTGGAATGAGAAATTTTAAATATTTCCTGAGAAAAAGCGTTACCTGACACTTCCGAGTCATGTACACATATATGGTCACTACCAGGTATTTCACTTATAAACGTGGACCTTGCGGAAGCTTTGTACCTCTGAAGAAGTTAACAGTATGGTAAAAATTGAAGTCATAAGCCATTTTCTCTATTTTTGAAATTATTATTTCAGCTGCTATAGACCAATATAATGTTGAGAAAGTGGGCTGAATCTTGAGAAAAACGATGGAAGGACAGCTCATTTTGGAAGGAGGCAACGTTGGCATGGGTCGTGAGCGTCCCTGCTCTCCTTGCTGAGGGCACCGAGACCACCAGGCCCAGAGCACTCTCCCCCAGGCTACTTCCCAGGGTTGCTTGTACAGCTGGTAACCTCGAGGGATTAAGTATGTTCCTGGAGAGAGACCAGGACTGTTTACATTGCCAGTGGTCTATCTCCCAAGTTCTGTGCTCCTCAGCTGTGGAGCTATTGCTTCTCCTTCTGCCTGCCAGTCCCCGTGCTTGTGCTTGTGTGCAGTCTCTCTCTGACAAATAAATAAAATCTTAAAAAACATAAATAATAAAAATAAAATAAAAATCAATGTTTTCAGTTCATTATGAATCCCTCATCAGAGGGGAAGTCTCACCTGCTCCAACTGGGTGGCGAAGGCTATGGTCACCGACATAATGAAGAAGTCAGAGCAGTACTCTGCTGGGCCGATCTGATGGTAGCCTCCCTCCTCATTTAGCACCACCACAATGTCCTTGGGGTCGAGTCCAGACAGGCTGGCAGGTACTTTATGGGGAAAACCACAATGCAACTACATTACAGTTTGCCATAAACCACTGTAAGATTTTGAAAGCCGGTTATGCTTTGTATTTTGCTGGAGAGTTTTCATGGATACATTCAGTACCTCAGTAAATTTCTCTTTTCTTTTTCTTTCTTTTTTTTTTTTTAAAACACTCTCTCCCAAGAAACCATTTTAACCACCATTTTCCTTCTAGTCTGAAATACGGTAACATTTTAAAATTGAACAAACTGCAGAGAAGAGACCCCATAGGTTTCCCGAAGGAAGTGAATCTTTTTTTTTTTTTTAATATTTTATTTATTTGACAGAGATCACAAGTAGGCAGAGAGTCAGGCAGAGAGAGAGGAGGAAGCAGGCTACCTACTGTACAGAGAGCCCAATGTGGGGCTCGATCCCAGGACCCCGAGACCAAGACCTGAGCCGAAGGCAGAAGCTCTAACCCACTGAGCCACCCAGACGCCCCAGGAAGTGAATCTAAACCGGGGACTGAACCATCAGCCCAGCGTGGCTAAGAAAAGAAAGGGCAATGAACGGAGAATAAGGGAGTAGGAAACTGTCCCAGGCAGAAGGAACTAGAATACACAGCCTGGGAAGAGAAAGCACACGGTGGGGGGGGGGGGGGGGGGCAGGGGGGGCGTGCTGGCTCACAAGGTGAGGACCGACAGGCAGGAAGATGCGGGGTCAAGGCCCGATGACAGACTCCCTACACGCCACACTCTAATGCTGGGGTCATTTTCCAAGATTAAGAGGAGAGCATGAAACAATTTTGGGAAGAGAAGTGATATAATGCATACCTCAGAGATATGCATCCCCCCCATCAATAAGCAATCCTCTCCAGATTCCTATTTTGCAGCCTGAGAAATTGTACCTTTGGCTTGAAAAGGAGCTTAAAACCAAACGGTTCCCCCAAGCAGTCAGGCAGCTAGAAAGACAGCTTGGACTCTGATAGGGGGAAGGCAGCATGCAGGGTTACCCCTGAAGAAATGAACTTCCTACAGCACTGGCTAAATATAGCCAAACAGTTAAGCACACGGATGCTCCAGTAACATAGACTGAGGTTCCAATCCCATTTCTGCCATTTACCAGTTTTATGGAGAACCTGTAGGATTTCTTCCTGTTTCCATTTTTTGCTCTGCAAAGCTTTTATAATGTTGTTTAGAAGATCAAATTAAATAATCAAAGTAAGGCATCTGACAATCACATTAATTAAAGACATCCACAAAACAGTAATGTCAGCAGAGCTTAAAAATGAGAAGAATAACTATGACAGGTCTCCTGGTGCCAAGGAGTTACAGGCACAAGTTAAAAAAGGGACGAGAACGAGGATAAACCTACTGTAAGACTGGAAGGACTGAAGGTGTCAGTGTGAATGTACACGGTTCACTAAATGTATGGATAAACAGATATAAAGGCATGTGTACCCATGTTCATGTATGTGTGTTTATGTATACCTCACTTTTTTCATTAGAAGGCACTGGCAGCAGAACACCACAATAGCATCAGGCATACCTTGCACCTAGACTCGTTCTTGTAAGGAAGCAGGGCTCCCTGAACAAACAGCTGAATCCAGGCCTAGACAGGAAAGGACATCAGCCTGTACCATCTTCCTATGCCAGAAACCAAGAGAAAGTTCAAAGAATTATGGAGACAGGCTAAAGGAAACAGAAGCAGTTTGAAGGGGTTCCCCTTGCACAAATCTGGGACAATGATAGATATTTTAACCCATTAAAAAAAAAAACAACAACAGTAAATTGAAGGTTTAAGGAATGAGCACTTTAACAATTTCTTAATAATGAGTCACAAAATATCAATTCCCTAAGAAAATAGTAATTTACAGTTGAGAACAGATACACACTACACCTTAATCAAGTGATCAAAATGAGAATCATTTTATCATCAGTAATGAGGCAAATCCAAATTACATGCCACCTGCAAAGATGAAATGAGAACAACAGAGCATCACATCCATGATATTCATGCCAAAGATGTACAACCTACATCTATTATCAGACAAGCTGAAATGGTACAGGGGGACAGGCTCACCCAGAGCTGAGACTCAGTCATGGGACTACAGAAAGGTTCCCTCTCCCCACACCTTCCCTCTATGTTACTAAAGGCTTATTTTCTTTTTACCCAGTATATCGTGTCCACCTTGCAACAAATAATTACAAGGCATATTAAAAAGCAAAACAAAACAAAAAACTAGGTTTCTATCTCCGGAAAATAGAAAAAACGGCAGCAAATTTTTGCAAATTAAGTTCAAAGCCAGCAGAGGGAGAGAAATAATAAAAACTAGAGCTTAAATCAATGAAATGGAAACAGGAAATCAATGAAGAAAATCATAGAAACCAAAAGCTAGCTCTCCAAAAACATCTATCAAACCATTAAGCATTTTGCCAATGTAACTAAGAGAAAAGGAGAGAAAACACAAATTATTATCAGAAATAAAAGAGACATCTCTACAGATTCCACGGACATTAAAAGGATACTGGGGGGGGGGCCAAGATGGCGGAGAAGTAGGAGACCCTGTTTCAACTGGAGCCCTAAAGTGAGCTAATTATTTACCAGAACACCCTGAAAACCATGAAATCAGCCTGAGACGTAGGATTATACACTTCTGGATCTCTACAGGGTCAGAGGACACCAGGGAGAGGTAAAGCAAAGTGGGAATGCTCAGACTGATACCGGAGGATAAGCAGAAGGGGGAGGGAGCCACCAGAAGCAACCCATTGGAAAGTAATACCCCATACGAAAGTGCCCTGTGGTTGGGGACCAGCATTAACTTGGAATCTGGTTAAAAGCACTCAAAAAGAGCAAAAGATCTTAAAGGGCAACTGGTGGAATCAGGCAGTCACGGGCACAGGTCTAGGCCCACGGACCCAGGATGGCCACCGCCGGCAACCACCGGTGCCAGAGTGCGCGGTGGAGCCTCCAGTTTCTGGCTGCTGAGCTCCCCCGGGGTTGTGTAGCTTGCACCACCACTAGGCTGGGCGCACTCCTGCCCCCACAAGGGGGAGTCTGGTGACGGCGCCAGCCTTTGCTCCCTAGAAGTACAGCCTTTTGCGCTCTGCACACACTATGCAAACTGGGTCTGACCCACACCCCAGCCCGGCCTGAAGGAACTCAGCACGACCTCTGGTCGGGATCCCTTGGCAGCAACCTGGACGGCCATCAAGTCTGGACTCCAGAATCAGTCCCAGCAAAGGCAGCCAACGGAAGCAGACTCCCTGGACCAATATCGCTTGCAGTTTTAGAGGCACATGGGTGCAGAGACAAGCGGCACTTCAAGCGACCCCTGAGACAGTGGCTGGGGACTTGCACCGCCTGCACTGAGGTTGCACGGTTCATGGAGTTTGCAGAGGGGGAGTCTGTGTGCTCCGAACCACCAGGAGGAAGCAGACTGAGGCTTCCCTCTGAGATGGAGGTCTGGGTGCAGTTTATTTCCACTAAACCAAAAAGCCACCAAAAACCAAAATCTCCAGAGAACAAAAGCCTGAAAAACCGGTTTTCACAGAGCCCAGCCCCTTGATAGGGGACAGGAGGACTCAACCCAAGCAAATCTGACTGAAAAACAATGCGGCAGTCCTCTCTCCCAGAAGACAAGCCAAAAGAACGGGAAGACAACCACTAGAGGGTCCCCATAAAATTGTAAAACCCCAGTATCAGGGGAAAATAATATGTTAAGCTCCTGGTATTGCCCTAAAACCTGTATATTTCACAGATACAACTTTTAATTTTTAATTCATTCTCACTATTCTTGTTCTTTTTAATTTTTTAACCTACTTACCATTACAACCAGAGGATTAATACAACATATTCCATACTAACCTTTTAACTTGAACTTTCTTCATACATGTACCGTGTTTTTTCCTTTTCTATTTTTAATATACATATACATATAAGCTTCAAAGTAATCCTCTTTCACTAATCAATACTACCCCTATATATAAACCAGTTTTAATCTCCCTTCATCTCTAGAAAGTTGAGTCCTTTAACAAAGATATCAAGATACACCCAGGAAGAATTCCTCGCCCACATTAAGGATTTATAACCACCCTCCCATCTTTTTCTCCTGCCAGTGTTTCTGTGTATTTGTTTTTGTTCTGGTATTATATAAATCTTATCCTTGGGGATCATTTTGGCTGGGTTCTTTTTTTTTTCCATTTACTTTTGTCGGTCTTTTTGTTTGTCTGTTTTTGTTTGTATACCTTATAAATCTTATCTTTGGGGCCCATTCTGGCTGGGTCTTCTCTTTTTTTCCCCCTCTCTCTTTCTCTTTCTCGCTCTTTTTTCTTTTTTTGGTGGTGACTCCGGATTGCTCAGAAGCATTCCAGAGTGCACCTTGCCTGGATCATGACTGATATATTCAGCGATACATCCCCTCAACCACCTCTCACCAAAATGACGAGGAGGAACACCCAACAGAGGAAAAATTCAGAGACTGTGCCCTCTCCATCAGAATTATTGGATAAGGACACAATTCAGGGTTGGAATTATCCAGGCAAAGGCCAGGTTTGAGAAAACCATTAGTGACAACATAGACTCTCTAATGGCAGAAGTGAAAGCCGCCTGGGAAGAAGTTAAAAATACTATCAATGAGATCCAATCTAATCTAAATACTCTAACAGCTAGTGTAACCAAGGCAAAAGATCTAGAGGACAAATTGACAGGAAAAAAGGATCCGAAGGAGGCCTGGAAGAATAGCTTAGAAGCCATGAAAACAGAATTAGGGAAATAAATGACCCTATGAAACGTTCCAACGTCAGAATTATTGGGATCGTGATAGGGCAGAGAAAGAAGACCAGAAGATAGAGCTGAACAAATTTTGGATGAAAATTTTCCCAATCTGGGGAATGGAACCCACATTTGTGTCCTAGAGGCTCAAAGATCACCCCCCAAGATAACCAATCTAGAAAGACCTCGAGGCACCTGATTGTGAGACTGATGAATCGTAATTTTAGACAACTGCTTCTGAGGGCAGCTAGGG